GCAGGAATTTAAAGGAGGATGTCTGTAAACACCATCTTTATATGACTGTAGACTGTAGTCAGGAACATTTCTTAACTGAAACCCAAACTTGCCACAGTTTTGAGCAGGGCAGCCTTAAAGAGCATTGGCAAATAAGATCAACCAGCCATTGAAAAATTCCTAGCAAGTCTGCTTAAGAAAACAATGATCACACACAGTCGTAATGAAGTTTATCCTATGAAAACATCACGGTGACCGAGAGGTTATCGTTAGCACGGGTTCCACTCTTTTACTGTAAGCTTGGAGAGGAAGCCATTGGACTCTGCATTATTTACATTTCTCAATTTCCTCTTGTATTTCAGTTTTCTAAGTCCATGGTGCTGGATGCTTACAGTGAATATGTGAATAATTTTAGCACAGCTGTGGCAATCCTTAAGAAAACGTGTGCTACAAAACCTGCTTTTCTTGAATTTTTAAAGGTAGGCACTTTAAAAATTTTTTTGTGTGTTTTATCACCCTCTGATAACAGGTTTGATGTCAAAATACTTTGTAGTGAAATTTCACCAAACCTTCCCTCTATATGTATAATGTTATTTATTGTAAAGATTTTAGCACCAACAGGACCCTAGGTGTTGGATCAGTGCTGGAAAGGATGATGAATTTTTTAGTGAAAACATAGGTCTTTGAAAATAACCTTCATCTGCACATCCTTAGACATATGTGGATAGATGGGAGGGGCCAGAAAGTGGAGGTCAGACCCCAAACCAAGTGGCCAGCTGTTGCTCAACACAGCGTTAGGAGTAACAGAAGGGGGCTTTGGAGTCGGTCGGGGGCTCCTTGGCTTCTTTGGGTCAGGCAGTGAGCAGACCCCCTAAAGATGAGCCCCCGCGGTGGATAGGGGGGCTGCATGATCCGTTCCTCCTCTGACATCGGGTGTTGATGGGTGACATTGAATCAGCGGCATCCCTGTCAAAAGACGCCTGTCACAGGCTGGGACGTAAACGTGCCCGGAGGGCTCGCTGCCCGTGGAACCAGGATAAAGTTCCCCTTCAGATACTGAGTCCCCGGGGGCGGAGTCTCATGTGCCTGAGGCTCCAGTTTGCATTATGACTTGGGACCAAAGCCTGTTCCTGTTACTTGAACTGTATTCTTGGAAGGTTCTGCCACCTGCACAGTGAACCCTGGGGGTATCCTCACCCAGGGTGAAGACTTATTTAGGCTGAGCTATACCCCCTCCCTCTCATGTGATATGGTGGTTCCTACTGAGGCAGGACTGGGGTGGAGGTGGCCCGTCCTTAGATCGACCCCATTCTGGAAAGCTGCGGTCGGCGCTCTGGTCTTCCCCTGTCATAGCAGGAGAAAGGAAACACGGGACGATCTAAAGTATACTTTTTCTGAGGAGTTTGTTGTGGTCCTGCTGGTGCCGACAGTACCTGACAGGAGGCCACCGCAGCCCCACCGTCAGGCCGCCAGCCCCCGGCGGCCTGAAGGCAGGCCATCCAGTCCCCTGTCCTACCGCAGGCGCCTGGTGTCCACGAGGTCAAGCCGGGCTCCGGGCTCCGCACCACGTGGCCCCTCAGCTAGAGAGAGCTGGGGACTCCTCCCCAGTTTGTAAATGGTCAGCCTGGGGCGTCCCCTCCTGCCAGAGAAGCCTCCCCTGTGGAGGGAGGGGGGCGCCTGGCCCTGGACTCCCTCCCCCCGGCCTCCCTTGGGGAGACTTGCCAGGACACGGACACGCCCCAGCCACACCCCAAATCTCCACGGCAGAGCGAGGGCTGAAGTGGGGAGGTTTGTTCCAATGCAGGACAAGCTGTGGCAGCTGCAGGGACTGTGCCCCAGGTGCGGGGCAGGTGCCTTTAGGGGCCCGTGCTGCTCCAATTTGGGATTCTGTCACTTTCTTCTTTCTTTTTTCTTTTTTTGTAGCTGCACTTTGTTGTGATTGTAGAATCTTAGAAACTAGTTTGACTCTTAGAGTATTGAAATTAGCTCATAAACGGCTCTTAAAACATCAAATAAAACCATTGAAGCTTTTAGTTCAGAAACCAGCCAGGGCTCGCTGCGGGCTGAATGACGTCAGCATGCATTGGCGGTGTATGAGGTGCAGAAGGTGTTGGATCAGGTTTGGAGGCGGCCTCTCCATAGAGGGGAGCAGGTGGGAGCTCCCCCCGGGGGCGGCGTGCAGGCGGGAGCCACGAGTGCCGGCCCTTTGTCACCCCGCAGCAGTGCCAGGAGACCAGCCCTGACCGCGTCACGCTGCACAGCCTGATGATGAAGCCGATCCAGAGGTTCCCGCAGTTCATCCTGCTGCTCCAGGTGAGGCCTCCTGTGCGATTCGGCCAGTGGTCCTGTCTTGCCGTCGTCTGTGCCTCCGTGTCCAAGCATCTCCTCGTGGAGACGGCAGGTTCTCAGCTGCCCCCGCTCCTGGGTCGCTTACATCAGGGCAGGGCCGGGGGCGGCGAGACCCCAGCCTGCAGCTGCCGGTCCCTCTGGCCCCCACCTGTGCTGAGCTCCTCTCCTGGGCCCATCGGGACCCCCCTCGTCAGCATAGACTCTGGGGGAGTGAGAGGGACTTCTTATGAACACCAGACGCCCCTCCCCCCATCACTCAGGAAATAACGAGGGCTTTAGGGGCCCCGGGCCAGGGACCTGAACTGGGGCAAAGCCGAGTGAGTTTTCATTAACCACACGCGCTCGTGCACTGGAAGAGGTGGGCTGGTCACCAGGCAGGTAGACACAAGATGTCCAGGGTCCTGCTCTGGGGTCAAGTGTGTGCCCAGTGGGGAGGGGCAGGCCCAGAAAGCTGCCGGTCAGCCGCGGAGCCGACTTGCTGCTTGGAGGGCGGGAGCTGCGCAGAGAGATTTCCCAGATACTCCGACCCTATGTTATTTTAGACTAAGAATTCTCAGTTAGGTACGTGCGTTGATCTAAAGAGTAGAGCTGGCTTTGAGTGCAGATAGAAAGCATCGTCGGATCAGGAAGGCCTTGCCCTGCCGTGTGATGTGCTCTCAGGCCCCCGAGACCTGGGACCCGCGTGCCTTGCGGGCTCAGGGCTCACCCTCCGTAGATGAGCATCAGGGAGTTTAAATCGGTTATTTCTGAGGAGGATCTGCAGTGGCCTCCGCCTCTTCCGGTTTCTCAGTGAACACTCAGCTTGTTTCTAGAGTTAAGTCAGGCGACTTGTTGGCTCGCCTGGTCATTAAAAGTGATGAAAGATGAACCGTGAAATCATCCCCAGGAACAGGGAGGGTGCATCAGAGGCCTTGAGGCCTCGCTGGGCCCACCCGTCACACGGTTCCAAATTTTAAAAATTGGTTCTTGTAAGAAGTTTGGTCTTTCCTTTTGTTTTTATTTTTCTTACCTCTAAATGTTTCGGTTTGCTGAGCAGAAACAGATGAAAATTCTTAAAGTCCAAATCCAGTTATGATAGACTCCAGGGTTTTGCTTTAAGCACACGTCCTTGTGGACAGATGCGGCCGCTTGGCCTGGCCCTTCCCGGGTTCCTTAGAGCTTCCTGTACAGCTCATCCCCTCCCACCCCCCCGCCCCACCTGGGCGCCAGCCCCCGACCCTTCAGGGCAGAAAACAGCCTTCACCCCGGCCTGATGGCGGCACAGCACCCAGACGGCTGGTCCCAGATTTGTGTGAATGCAGTTCCCGTGGGCAGGCGTTCAGTCCTTCCTGCTGTCTGAGCACAGGCAGTTCGCAGGGGCAAGGGGCTCAGACAGAGCAGGGCTGGTTCCCAGGAGAACGCAGTCGGCGTTGGAGAGGGGCGGTGTCTGTACTTCCGCACTTCAGAGATACCTACAGGTCCGTGTGCAGGGACCCCGCTCTGCGGGTAAGATGTGCCTGGGAGCTGGTCCTGGAGAGGAGTGGGGTGGAAGGTGGGGCAGGCGCTTCCCTCCCGCTGAGCTCCGAGCCCTGCTGCGTCCGCGTGCGCCGAGGGGGCGGTGAAGGGGGGCGGCATGGAGGGGCCCGTGCCTCTGACCCCTGGCCACTCCCCTGCCTCTCCTCGTCTCACCACACCTGACCCTCCTTGGCTCTCGGGACCTGTTACCTGTAGTTGCGATGACCCTATAGCTGTCCCCCAGAGCTCGGGATCAGGCTGTGGCCGTGGCTTTTCTGGGCCTGCCGGTTTCCACTACGTGGTCCCCCAGGAGCCTTTGTCCTTATCCTGACTCCCGTGTTCTCCCCCATATTGTACCCCAATAAGTAACAGCCTGGCAGCCGCTGCGCCCCCCCCCCCCTTTCCTCCGCTCAGCTGTCCATCCACGTGCGGTGCTGGTTCTGCGGATGGTGCTGGGATCCGGGCGGGCGCGACCCAGCTGCCCTGCTGGTACCAGAGCTCCTGTGAAGATGATTCATTTTGCCTTGTAGGGTTTGATATGGCTCACAGGGAAACCATCGCGTGGAGCAGTGTGTGTTGTTCATTCAGACGGGGAACATGCGATCGTTAGGCGAGTTCTTTCCAGACTGAAGAGAACAGGAAGCTTAAAAAGACAGGGTTGCTGAAGCTCCCGGGGACGGGTGGGCCGAGTGGCCCGGGCAGGGACGCCTTGGTCTGGCTCGCCCTCCGCTGCGAAGCCGGCAAGGTGACTGTGCCCGGCGCATAGATGTCCCCCTCGAAAGTTGACTCAGAGCCTGGAGTTGGCTCTCACCACTCTCGCGGTGCCGTTGGTGCCCGTGCTGTGCTCCTGCAGGGCCGCCACGCTCCGCCCGAACCAACGGCTCAGAGCTGGGCGCTCAGGACACAGACCCGCCGGCAGGAAGGGGACTCCGGCCGTCTGTGGGTCCACTGGTCTGGCTCACGCTGAGAACAGCAGCCTGACCGTTACCAGAGAGCAGAGATTTCTGAGGTCCTGGCGAGCTCGCAGTAGGGATGGGTCCCTTCCTGGAAAATGGTGTCTTGTTACCATTCCCATCCCCATTTAATAAGGCAGTTTTGTTTTTGCAAAAGGAGCTTTGAACGTTCAGCCAAATTGTGACTCACTGAGTTTGTTACCCTTTCCCAGGGCTTACTTTATTCCCCAGAAGCAGCGGATGCCAGGGCCAGCCTCTGGCTGCCAGAGTCGCGGGATGCTGTCGGCGGGGGTGCGTGGTGACTGCCCGCTGCTCCCACCCCCGCATCACACGTCCGCCTCCCTCTGCCTTGTTTCTCCCCAAGGACATGCTGAAGAACACGCCCCGGGGACACCCCGACCGGCTGCCCCTCCAGATGGCGCTAACGGAGCTCGAGACACTGGCAGAGAAATTAAACGAGAGGAAGGGGGACGCTGATCAACGCTGCGAAATCAAGCAAATAGCAAAAGCCATAAACGAGCGGTACCTGCACAAGGTTGAGAGTTTTCCACTCTGTGCTGAGGCTGCTCTGCTTCGTGCTAATGAGCCTTCGCTCTCTGAGCCACTTATTACTAACCTCCTGGAACCTCTCGGCGAGTCCCTTGGCCCCGAGTTCTTGACTGAGGCTCCATGGAGAGCCTCGGGGTCACGAATGCTACACAGTGTGCACGAAGCCTTCGTAGTCTGTGCATTTTCTCAGGAAAGGGGCTCGCAGATTGATTAGGTCCTCAAATGGACCCAGGACCCCAAAAAGGTCAAGAGCCACTCTTTTAGCCGAATTTTACTTTCAAAATGCAGTGTTTCATCCTAGTCCTACTTGAAGCATAGATATTCACGTGCATTCTTACTTGTATCCACGGTGCGTGGACTGGGCTGTATTTATCATGAAGACGGGACGCAGAACACAGCGTGAAGGTGGTTCCTCAGCAAAGCTGTACCCAGCTTCATATTTACAAAGCCAAATAGGCTTTTCACATAGGCTTTGCTGTTTTATCTGAAGCTCTAGTCCACAGGAAGAGGTTAATGGATATGAGCTGTGTTAAATCATTTTGTTTTGTCAGCAGGGGTACTTTCCTACTGGTTACTGACATCTAGTGACTTAACTACAAGAACTTTATTGTCATATGTTTTAAGCTTAGGTTTCCCCTGATTCTCCAAAGGATTTGTACAGGAATTTTTACAAGCAGAAAATTCCCTTCACTGATATTCTCGAGGTGGCTCATGTTGTTTAAAACCCTGCTTCCCTATGGAACCCGAATGTCTGGGAAGCCCCCAACAGTCCGAGGGCCCTCAGAGGTGACACATTGCTTTTACCGTTGCGCTAGTGAGGATGCAGCCTCATCCCCATGAGGTCGGCCAGCCAGTGTGGACGTCTGGGCCAAGGACTCCGGATTTCCTGTTGGGCTGAACGGCTAAAATAAGTTCTGTATGACCTGTGTCACTTTACTAATAAATATGAAGCCTCTTTCCAAAGAACCAAGGGTACTTTGTTTGGCTCAGAGAAGTAAAACATGGCAAGCCATGAGCAGTCAGGATGTTTTCTTCAGTATATGCTGTCCTTGGGGAAAAACCATAGAATAATGTAAAAGTAAAACCACAGAATAGTGACTTTCACTTACAGACATTCCCGGTTGATACGGTGTCCTAAATAACAGAAAGGTTGGGGTGACCATCTGTAAGGATTGGAGCGTGTATTCCGAGGAGTCACTGAAAGAGAGAGAGCACATTGAGTGACAGGTGAAAACCAGCGGAGCCCTCGTGGTTGCGTCAGCATCTCATAGCTAGAGAAACTGCTCATAGAAGGAAGTTAGATCCCTGCCACTGTGTAGATTCCTTTAAAAAAAGCCACTTTTTGAACTCTATACCGTACGTGCACGAAGCGTGATTGGGAATATAAGGATTATCTGTAGAGAAAAAAGAAGCGTAAAACCTTGACGTTGTCTGCTCGTGTATTTTGCCAGGCTTCATTCTCATTGTTCTTTTTCTCGGTGGTCTTTGAACGTCCAGCTTCTCAGCAGCGGGAGTCGCTACCTCGTCCGCTCTGACGACGTGGTAGAAACCGTCTACAACGACCGGGGGGAGATCATGAAAACCAAGGAGCGCCGGCTCTTCATGCTGAATGACGTGCTCATGTGTGCCACGGTCAGCACCCGGTAGGTCAGCGCCCGGCAGGTCAGCGCCCAGTAGGTCAGCGCCCGGCAGGTCAGCACCCAGTAGGTCAGCACCCAGTAGGTCAGCATCCAGTAAGATGCACGGCCCTGCGGGGAGCTCTGTGGTCACAGGCGGTCTGTGTCTCGGTGAGCGGATGCCTTTGTTTCCCCTTCACTCTGGACAGATGTGTATGCAGAGCTCATCCTCTCGTCCTGTGACTTGCATGGGTTCAGGGAGGGTCCCCGACTCACTGCTGGTGGAGCTGAGGGGCACGTGGGTGGATTTTCTCTGTAAACGTCAGGCAGATGTCAGAGCTGGAAACTGAACCGAACTCCGTTTCTAGCCGTCCTGAATCAGCTATGGTTCCTGTCTGCATCATCGTTCAGATCCTTTCTCATTAGTTGCTTCTCTATAAATATGTTTTTGAAGCCTTTTCTTATAAAATTTGGGTATATTGGGCTTCCCTGGTGGCGCAGTGGTTGAGAGTCCGCCTGCTGATGCAGGGGACACGGGTTCGTGCCCCGGTCTGGGAAGATCCCACATGCCGCAGAGCGGCTGGGCCCGTGAGCCATGGCCGCTGGGCCTGCGCGTCCGGAGCCTGTGCTCCGCAACGGGAGAGGCTACAACAGTGAGAGGCCCGCATACCGCAAAAAAAAAAGAAAGAAAAAAAATTGGGTATATTTATACTTTGTGAAAACCCACTGTGGAACCGCATGGTCAGTCCTGGTGAGAACGCCAGGAGCACCCAAGCCCACAGTTCAGAGGCGTCTCTCTTGAGTCTCCAGGGGATGAGGCGTCCCGTGACTGATTCCTTGGCTGTGCCTGACACGAGGGTTTCTGCCCCTTGCAGCACCTCCCATGACAGCGGTGCCCTGACATCGACCGGCCAGAGGTATTTGTTGAAGTGGAGCGTCCCTCTCGGACACGTGGAAGTGATAGAATACGGCGGCAGCGAGGGCGCGGGGGAGAATGGCAGGGGTCCCGTGGTGCCCGCGCCCGAGAGCCTGGCAGTGGTGGCCGGCACCAAGCCAAGTGAGTGATGCGTCTCGGACGCGCTTGCAGGTCTGGGGCCGCCATGGCTCTGATGTAACCTGCTCGGTCCTCAGCCCCTCACCGTGTCAGGAGACCTGGTTAAGACGGTAAATCTGTCAGGTGACACGGTCCTAGAGCCTGTGCTTAACATTGGCTGGCGCACGTGGACACACGTGCCAGCCGGGAGGGTCCTCTCTGAGCCTGTCACCGTCGGGGACCGGGGGCAGGGGCCCTGCCCTTGGGATGCATTCCATCTTCCTGATTCGCGTCCTGTCCTGCACTTCCCGCCAGCAGCTGCAGCGGGGGCCCTGCCCTCTCCCGAGGGTGCGTTGAGAGGATGCAGAGAAGGTCCCAGAGAGCGTGGGCCTGGGTGATGGTCTCAGCTCTGCCGCCCCTTCCCCTTCCATCTTCGCGGAGGTGGTGCCCGCCTGTGCCTTTCACAGAGAATCGGGGGAAGAGGGTCCCGGCATTTGCTCAATAGTCTTATAATACATTTATTGTTACTAAATGGTCTGAAGATTCTAGATTTTGAACTTGGTGTCATAGTCATTACTTTCTACTTCTGTTTTCTTTTTGTTTTGCTTTGTTTTTATCCAAGTAAAGCCTGGTTAAATTTTACTCCCTCACTGGCCTTGGCCCCTGAATTGTGGAGCACTTAGAGTACAGTGAATGGGAACATTGTATAAGTTGTTTTATATATAAAATGAGCCTTTATATTTAAATTTATAATATTAAAAATAAGTGTGTCAGGGCTTCCCTGGTGGCGCAGTGGTTGAGAGTCCGCCTGCCGATGCAGGGGATGCGAGTTCGTGCCCCGGTCCGGGAAGATCCCACCTACCGCAGGCTGCGCCCGTGAGCCATGGCCGCTGAGCCTGCGCGTCCAGAGCCTGTGCTCCGCAAGGGGAGAGGCCACAGCAGTTAGAGGCCCGCGTACCGCCAAAAAAAAAAAAAAAAAGTGTGTTCAATAACCTTTTAGACTGTGTTGTTTCTGACATGGTCAGAAGGAGGCTGCTTTTGAAAGGTGCAGCTTTTCTGAGCGAACATGCACGTTCATTTGGGTTTACAGGAACAGGTCGCGGCGACTGTTGGGTCCCATCTGATGTGGTGTCTCTTTTATTGTTTGTTCTGCTTCTTTGCCTGGTGTTAACAGGCTTGCGGTTTGGTGGTCTGCTTGGGATGCTAGTTCCTAGAGCATATGCTCCTAAACTCCTAAATTGCTGATGAAAAAATCATGCTCCTGTTTAAATAACGTGCATACCGTCTCAACTAACAATCGAAATACCAAACTGTACCACAGATTTTTGTAAGGAGGGACTAGCTGAGGAGTGGTTTTGGAAAGGGGACAGAGTGGGAAAGGGCGGGAGGAAGAAGCTGTCTCCCAGTTGACTTGATTGATTAAAATTTTACTTAGTAAGGGCAGCGTGAAGATTTTGTGTCTTAAATGTTCTTAAATATCCGTTGAAATTACTTGGAAGTATAGCAAATCCTATTTATGTCTTGGCTTTGTGAACAAAAATAATGCCTCTGTGTGTATTACAATGGAAGCAATCCCAAGGTGGATTTGTGATCAAGATTGCCTCACTGTGTTCAGATCTCCAAGGATGCCTTCGATCCATGAAATAGATGCTGTGGTACAGGGAACACTGTGTTCTCACGTTCAACTTCTAATGGATGGTTCGTACTGAGCCAACTTAGAATAAAATTCAAGTCAGCAGTATTAAAAAGCAGAAAGCGGGATGACTTAATTTGTAAAATATTACACGCAAGAAAGAACCTGGACTAAGTTTCCTGCTGCATTTGAGCCCTAGATGTTATCTTGAGCTCCTGTCAGCTATGGCCCTAGATGTTATCTCGAGCTCCTGTCAGCTATGGCCCTAGATGTTATCTCGCGCTTCTGTCACTATGGCCCTAGATGTTATCATCTCGAGCTCCTGTCAGCTATGGCCCTAGATGTTATCTCGAGCTCCTGTCAGCTATGGCCCTAGATGTTATCTCGAGCTCCTGTCAGCTATGGCCTTAGATGTTATCTTGAGCTCCTGTCAGCTATGGCCCTAGATGTTATCTTGAGCTCCTGTCAGCTATGGCCCTAGATGTTATCTCGAGCTCCTGTCAGCTATGGCCCTAGATGTTATCATCTCGAGCTCCTGTCAGCTATGGCCCTAGATGTTATCATCTCAAGCTCCTGTCAGCTATGGCAAATGCAGATACATAGTCCTCATTGTCTGTCAAAAGAAAGTGTCACTCTGTAGGGTACATCTTTTTCTTCATTCTGAGTTTAAGGAGAACTTTGCTTCCAGGTTATCTAGCTGCTCACTCTGGCTTTACAACTGGTGATACTGCTACGTCCTTAAAGGCAGGACCGAGACCACTGAGTGGTCCCCAAATAGACCTCAAAACCTGAGGAGTTGCTGTAGAATCGGGGACCCTGGATCCATCTCCATCCAAGGATCCTCTTACTCTTATGGTTTCCATTACATGTGTGGTCGGACGCCAGGAGAACAAAGGCTAAGGTCAGAGAAGGAAAACAAAACAGTTGCTGATAACGCAGTAAAATATCTGTCTCTTGGAAGTGAAGGTGACTGTTAATGTTTAGGCAATGCTGGCTTCTTGAGGAGAAAGAATTAAGGTGCCCATTCGTCCCTTAACAGGTCTGTATCGTCAGCAGATTGTGACAGTGGGAGTTTGACTGGCTGGTGTCTTGGTGCAGGTATCCAGGTGGGGAGACTCCTGCGGAGGACATGTTCTCGGTCCAGGTGTCCTGGGAAGGGCGCTTTGCAGAGCCGCTGCCCATCCTGGTGTTCACGTTGTCCAAAACTCTTTTAATAGTCCTAGATACATGTTGCTTCTTTTTAACTTTTTATTTTATTTTGGAGTATAGGTGATTAACAATTTAATGTTGTGTTAGTTTCAGGTGTACAACAAAGTGATACAGTTATACATATACATATATCTATTCTTTTTCAAGTTTTTTTCTCTGTAAGATTTATCCTTTTAGGTTATTACAAAATATTGAGTATAGTTCCCTGTGCTATACAGTAGGTCCTTGTTGGTTATCTATTTTAAATATAGCAGTGTGCACATGTCAATCCCAGACTCCCTAACTATCCTTCCCCCCGATTCTTTCCCTCTGGTTGACCTAGAGATTGTCATACTGAGTGAAGTAAGTCAGAGAAAGACAAATATCATATGATATCACTTATATGCGGAATCCAAAAAAAAATGATACAGATGAACACAATTCACCAGTTTTAAGTGCAGGGTGTTACCAGTTGAGGTGCCAAGTGGACAGACAGTGCAGGGGGTGGGGCGGGGGACAGGATCCTCTGGATACCGAGTCTGGAGATCAGGGGTGATGCTGGCAGACGCAGTCAGCGCCGTGGGCGCGGATGTTTGCCTGGGATCCTGGTTTAGTGCGTGCCTCTGTAGTTTCCTCATCCTTAAAGTGGGTTTAATTTTTAGCTCTGAGCTGTGAAAGGGGAGTGTGGAGTAGATGGTTTTCAAAATGCCTTCTAGATTAAAAAAAATGGTTTTTAACAAACTAAAGTTTGCTAATTCTGAATGTGCTGGAAGACGGGACTCAAGCCCCGTCAGCTAAGTTAGAAGTCCTGTTTCCCTTTGATATTCATGTGACTATTCTGCTGTTTGAACGACTCTGTTCTGAAGCTCAGTGCTGCAAGATTGGGTCTGTTACTCAGCGGCGGAGACAGCGTGGCCCCTGCTGCATGCCTTTGCTTTGCACCCTCCATGTCCTTGAGTTGTGACACATGATGGCCTTAAACGTTTCCCTCTAGTGCAGGGCCCTGCAAGCTGGGCTCCCTGGGTTGGTTTAAGCTTCCAACCCCCGGAACTGACTTTGCAAAATTCTGTGCTAATAGCGTCTTATTTTCACCCTGCTCCACGCTTTCTCAGGAGGTGGGTTTATGAGAAAATAAATTTCCCTTTTGCCAGAAATAAGGTGACGCTGTAGAGGGTTTTCTTCATTTAGTTCCCACAAGTGGGCCCTAAAGCGCCCCCAGTTTGCAAGGAATTGTGCCAGGTGGGCGCCGTGGAGGGTGTGAGGGGCCGTGGCCACAGTGCCGGCTCCGCAGGGGCCTTGGGGGGGATGAGCTGCCGGACCTTCAGAGAGTCACGTACACAAGAAGGAGAAACCTTCACCACCCAGCAGCAAACGCTTCCCAAGGAGAGGTTCCTGAGACGTTTCAACAGGTGAGAAGCAGCTAGATCTGGTTTAAAGGGAAGCGCTTTTTCATGTGCAAATACTGATACATGTCGTCTTGTAAAAATCGCGCCCATTGCTCTCCACTTCGTTACTTAATCCTTAAAATGGGCAGTAAAAGCCAGACACGTAGCTGGGCCTCTTTGTCGCACAGTGAGACACACTGTAGGGGCACAGGACCGGCCTGGGCTCTGGGGTGCTGAGCGGCTGGACCAGCATCCAGCTGTGGAGCTTTCCTGTTGTGGGGCAGCGACGCAGGCCAGGGAGAGCCGTGGTGGACATGGCGCTGACGTGCGTGTCGGCGGTGGTCTGCCCTGCCGGCAGCCTGCAGGGGAACAGATGGCAGTTCCAGGGAGCCAGGCGCCCCTGTTTGGAAATGGGGCCCTTGTTTGCCATCAGGAACTTTGCAGAGAGAACGGAAGGCCAGCCTGACAGTGTCACTTCCCATCCTGAAGCATTTACTGCGTGTCCCCTGTAGGCTGAAATCTAACACAGGTGCCCGGATCCCTGCTATCTGGCTGTGAAGGGGGAAGCCGGGGCAGTGGGTACAGCAGCTCAGGAACGAGGGAGGGGGCTACTGCCATGATTAAAAGTAAGCTGGGGGCTTCCCTGGTGGCGCAGTGGTTGAGAGTCCGCCTGCCGATGCAGGGGACGTGGGCTCGTGCCCTGGTCCGCGAAGATCCCACATGCCGCGGAGTGGCTGGGCCCGGGGGCCCTGGCCCCCGCGGCCCCGCGGCCG